GGCTGCACCTCGGTGACGTTTTATTGTCTCAGAGAATTTATTTTCATCAATACTTGGGTAGAGATGGAAAGACTTCAAGTTTTTTTCAAAAATTAGAAAATAATCAAAGTAATAAACATGTTCTAATGCACCACAGTCCATTCTGGCCTGCCATAGCTTCTTCTGCTCTGTAAACAGTGAGCAGAATGATAAGGAATAAGAAGTGGCTCCGGGGCACAGGTCCTTCCTCAGCGCCCTGGCCTTCGGCTTTCTTGTCTGCACAACGTGGGCGATAACTCTTGTCCCATCTCACATGCAAGGCAGCTATATGCATTGGTGAGAGGATGCAGCCTTGGGAAGAGCTGGATGGGTGCAAGCGCCTGGGCCGAGTCTGTTTACAAACTCTGCAGCAGCCTCCCGTTTCTGTCTCTCACTTCCAGGCTGCCAGGCTCGTTGAGCTAAGAAGAACTAACCTGGTGGCTGGTCTGCCTCGGACGCCTTTCTCTCTCAGGAGCGGTCTGCTCAACCAACAGCGATCTCCTTGTAATTTGGGCTCCAGGCGGGCCCTGAGTCTCCAGCGCCTGTTAAGAAAGGCTCCTCCTCTGGAGTCTCTCAGTAGTCACCACCAGAAGCCTTGCATAGTAGGACGGTCAGAGTCAGGGGGCGAATCTCGAGGCGGACAGGCTGAAGCTAGCAGGCTTTTCCACAGCAGCCCCAGAGGAGCCAGAATTAGCCGCTGTGCACCTCAACTGATTTGCATTTCTATGGGCAAAAATCAAACATGTTGTTAGCAATTTTCTACAATTTCCAGTTTTTAAACAGCTCAAAGATAGTGCAAAGGGAAAACACCTTGGGTCCAATACACAGAGCACCCACTAAATCTTTTTGCCCACTTCCCTGAGAAGTACAAAAGCCCACTGTATCACCCCTCCTCTGCCTTCCTGCCGCTCCCAGCACCTGTGCTGAGGTGGGCCAGGAGCTGGCTGACTTGCGATCTACAGGTGCCCCCCCACGCCCGCCACTCCCCAGCTCTTCCCTATCCCTGCTCCATCTACACTGGCATCTTGTGCTGGGGCGGCAACCGCTTCTGGTGGCAGCTGGGCTCACCATGGAGCAAAGCAGAGTGTACCCAGCCTTCAAGTTAACGAGGCCAGGCCTCTCCCCTCCACTCGCCCACTTACGATTTTCCACTCAGATATTTCACATGTCTCTTGAGGAAAAGCGCCCATTTCCATCCATCAAGGCGTTTGCAGCAAGCTCGGAGTGCTGGCCTCCGAGTGCTGGCTCTGTGTGAGGCTGAGAAGGATGAGACGGGCAGCAATTTTAAACATCACGTTTGTTTGCTTCCTCCCAAGGCTTTGTGCCTGCCTCCTCCCCACGGCCGTTGCCGCTGCTTGCGCTTGTGCCCTACACACAGCTGGTGTCCTCAAAAATCTCCAGACCACGGGGCTTTTCCCTGGGGAGCAGAGTGCAGTGGTGGGGTCCCCTGAGCGGCTCCTCCATTGCTTGCCTCCTCTGGCCGCCCCCTGAGTGTCCTCCAGGGCTGACTTTCAGGAATACTCCGGAGCTTGCGCTGCCTGGAGTATTTTATTCCTTCACACCTCCCTTTGAACGCTGAGATAATTTTGAGTTTTCAGGTCATTGTTCATCAGAGTGGGGCAAGGGGTAACACATACTCAATGGACAAATCAGAATCCTCACCCACATCTTCCGATCTGGAGCCGCACTGACCAGGGACTCGGCTTCCCCTAGCACAGCACCATGGCCCGGGATGAGAGGGAGCCGCTGTCCACCCATTGCCCACGGGCTCTTGGAGGAAGCACTTGTGGCTCTGCTGCATCATCTTCCTGGGCACGCTGCCTCCCAGGAGCCGTCTGCGCATAAGACCACAAGGTGCGGACACCGCGCAGTGCTTGCGTCCATGGTCTCTGCTCAGGCAATCTCCTCTACCTGAGATACAAACTGAAACCTTTTGGGATCATTGAATGGCGACAGCAAACAGCAGAATAGAAACGCAGGCCTACATGTTGTATGATGTTTCTCAGACCCTAGGTTCCAGGAAGTCAGTGTAGCACATCAACTTCCGCACCTTTGCGTGACTTTGTGACTTAAGGATGGGCGAGACAGAGCTGCAGGCCCCTGGCCTCGAATCCTAAACTAGCATCTGCAAGGCTAGTGTCTGCGGAGGCCTGAAGGTGTAGGCGTGGTTCTCCTGCCCTGAACGTAGGCGCGGAACGGAGCTGGCAGTGGACAGCTGGACCTCGCATTCTGCAGAGCTGCTGCCCAGGAGCATCCTGCCCCTGCGGGGTAACCCGAGCTGGGATGGGTGGCGGCCCTCGGGCCGGCCTGAGCCTCACGTCCTGAGACCCTGCTTGGACGACAGCGCGTCGGCGCTGCACAGTGCTGGTCCTTGGCTGCGCTGCGGTGTTTCTGAGCTTTGCTATCAGGAGCAAAGCCCTTCCTCCAATACTGCTTATGGGGCCTTCCTTTTCTTTTCAGCACTACTTCCACGCAGGCGGAAGTGGCCTGAAGAAGAGCTTCTTGGAGAAGAGCGCAGACCTCCAGTCTCTGAAGTATGCCCTCAGTCTGTACACCCAGAGCACGGATGCCTTGGTGAAGAAGTTCATCGACACTCAGACGTCGCAGAGTGAGTAATGCCTCCGGCCCGAGGCCGGGTAGATGGCACACCACGCTGCAGTTCAGCCTTGTTACTAGCGTTGTTTGGGGCAGGCTGAAACCTCACGGAGAATGGAGGGTTGTGGTTAAAGCCGTACCAGCTGGCTGCAAGGCATCGCTTGTCCGCCCAGCACTCTGGGAGGGGGAGGCGGAACCCGAACTCCAGTCCAGTCCGGACACCTCAGTGACTTAGTGAGACCCTGTCCCCGAATAAAGACTATAAGTGCTGGAGAGATGGCTCATGTGAAGGCTCTGGCCTCCACTCCCAGTACCACAAAACACAAAACAAAAGAAAACCAGAATTTAGCCTTTATGACAATGCAAAGAACGTGAACCTGATGGGTTCACAGGAAGGAGGAGTCAGGCCCCTGGCCATGCGGGGGCTCTGCACCCTCATCA